GGCATTTGATGGAGCAAATGTGGTGCTGAGGCTTCACGGACTAGCCTTCCTGTGGAGGTGGGGGCCAGGAGTTCATCCTGTGCAAAACTAGTCTTAAGAAGGGGGCTTAAGAAGGTAAAACCCTGTCTAAGCTGCTCACAGCAGTTGCTTCAGTGAAATCTATTGGAATAACTGCAAACCGAGGCTTGCCCAGGGGTGTATTTAACAACTTAGATGCAGAACTTGAAAACAGCTAAATGAAGAAAACATTTTCAACAAATGTCCAAAGTTTGCTCAGTTTGATGTAATTAATTGGACCATTGTAGATTCCTGGTGAATGCTTTATACATGGAACAGTACTGCACAGAATAGGCATGTTAGTAGGTCCAAAGTGCAACGCTCTTTCCTCTGGTGTACAATTCAGCTGATGCTCTTGGCTTCCATAAAAAATATACAATAACTTTTAAATTAAAAAGTGTTCTGCCATTCCAAATTGCTTTCCTGTGTGTTTTCATCTTGAGAACAGCAGGTGAATTTGAACAAGCCCAAACCTATTTTTATTTCTTAGTAATTCCCACATGTATGAGGTTTGCAAGCCAGCAGCATCCAACATTTTTTGCTGATGCTGGTATATAGGAGAACTGGTGGGGAAAATTAGACAGACTTCAGCAGAACAGACATAGAGGTTTTTATGAGATTAACAACACATGATCAGACAGGGATACAGATGATAGTTCTTTCTTTTTTAAATATACTTTTTTTAAATGGTCTTTTGTGTTGAATTTAGATCAACCATTTAGTTGCATAGGAGTCAGACCAAAAAGATGCTTCTTCTAAAAGAAGACGGGGGGGGGTATTTAATAGCAGCCTTCAGCTGCTTTAAAGGTAGTTTCAAAGAGGATGGAGCTGGACTGGTCTCAGTGGGGGCAGATGACAGGACAAGGAGCAATGGGCTCAAGCTGCAGCAAGGGAAGTTTGGGTTGGATATTAGGAAAAATTTCCTGACCAGAAGATTAGTAGAGCACTGGAACAGGCTATTTGGAAGTGGTGGACTCTCCATCCTTGGAGGTATATAAGACCGAGGTAGACAAAGCCTTGGCTGGGATGATCTAGTGACGCAACGCCAAGTAGCTCTAGCTGTGATGAACTGTGCAGGGAGACAACCTCAGGGCACCATATGCATTTATAACAAACCATCACAATATAACACCATAAAACGTAATGAAATCAAATGGCACCAAAACTAAGCCTGTTTTGTCTCCCTTGGAGTAACCTTAAAAAATGGACAATCCAGCAGTTATGAGAGAGCAGTTACTTCTGCTGCATAAAGCAGTTGCTGTATGCAAAATGCGAGAGCGTGGACTGCTCAGCAATGATCCGACTGACTGATCGCCCCCAAGTGCCTGATCACTGCCTGCATGAGTGACTAGTGCCTCCTGAACCTGGGGCGGCAGAAGCCACTGACCCTGTCAGGGGGAGCACCAGCCCTACTGACAACATCAATGTCGGCCATTGCGGGGGACACTGGCCGTGTTGGGGGAGCAAGTGCACCCCCATGCACCTCCTATCAGTCACTTATGACTGCCTGCAAGTTCTTCTGCAGGAGAGGAAAGATCCTATGATCCTGACCCATCTTTCAGTACGAAGCTGAAAAGATGCTGGTGGCTGTCTTCTCAGCCTTGGCTTATGTTCTTAGAGGATAAAGCCTCATAAACAAGCTGTTGAATGTGTAGCCAAGGCATGTACAAGGTGTCTTCTATCTGTCCTCCCCCACTCTGTCTCTACCCCTCTTTCATAAAGTTGAATGCATCTCTTATTGGAAGGTTCATTTTTTTTCACAATGTCTCTCAGGCTCCCTAAGTAGGGAGTTCACAGCCTGGGAGGGCTGGAGAAGGGCTCCACTAAAGGGGTGATGGACCTGTGAAAGCTTAAGAAGCCACAGAGAAGGCCACTGAGCCACAATGGCTCTTCCTTGTGCAAGATGCATGGCAGACCAGTGGTTCTATGCTGGTCCAGGGACATAGTAGGTCTAGTTTGGGCCTTGTGCCCTGGCTGGTAGTTGGGTTTCATCAAATCTCACTCAGTTCTTTGCCCAAAGCTTATTCATATGGATCATGAGTAGTGGGAGATGGGATCAGATTAGATACTTAACACACACAAGTTATTGGACAGTCTGGTTAGAAACAAGCCTGATGATCATGTAACCGAGAAACCATCTTGGGTTGACCCTAAAGTTAAAATATAAATAAAGTACAAAGAAATGCTGGAGCCCAGTTGACTCTACCTTGCATTAAGGCAGCAATGTACAGGCATAAATCAGCAAAGTCCCATTTACTTCAGCCATTTAATACTGTTTTATGTTCTTCATCCTGCCAGAGTGGCACGATGGGGACCTAGATTGAGCACGGAGCTGGCCGGCTGCTGTACTTTCTACAGAAGCGAGGCATGGAGTCATTTCTGAAGGTTTTTGTTACAACCAGAAATTCTAGAAACTGGATAGTGTTGTACAGAAATTTCAAGTCACCCCCAATGTACAATGCTTGGCCATCCTCACACTGATACTGAGAGGGACTTCATGATGCACCACACCCATGACTCCTTCTGCTGGCCCTGCTACACACATCAGCAAGGGACTGGCAATTTAATTTATTTTTTTTACATTTTTAGATCATCTCTAGACTAAAACTGATAAAAACACTATTTCTCTCTTCTTGTTTCTCTCTCTCTCTCCACTCATCTGCCCACTCCCCACCAAACCTCACCATTGCAGCCACTTCTACGGTAGCGACTTGTCAATCTGGGACTGGGGAAACAACTGAGAAATTGCATCTTGACATTATAAATGCTCAAGGATAAGAGATGCTGCGTGAAGTGAAGTCTTTACCTCTTGGTAGATGTCACTGAGAGGTGACTTTACAAGAGAGTTTGTATCAGTTAGAAGTGAGTCAGGGGCAAGTGTAGGGGATCCTGGCAAATTGAGGATTTCTTGCAAACTACTGGACCAGATTTCCTATATTTAAGAATGTGTGAGAAAGGCAGCTGTGAACACATGCAACCAGAAGTGATGACTGAGCTCCCAGACTTGTTAAACAGTATTTTTTCTGCCTCTCTCAGTAGCTGCTATACCACACACATAAGGTAACATTTTTACACAGAAAAAGCATATTATGGGAAAGGAAACTTACCTTCAATTAACTTTCCCCATACAAATAAAGCCCAAATGACCTCTAGGCTTCCTGTACACCATTCACATATTACCTTTGGATTCCTGTGTCTCGTGTTGTATCTGCTAATAAATTCAGAAGGATATTCTCAAAATCCAGTGTAAATGCATCAAAACAAGGGAGAAGCCCATGTATAGATGTAACACAGACACGATGTCAGAGGATACATCAGTGAAAGAACTTGCAGCTCTCTGATAATGTCTTGAATAATTCAAATCTAGTTTGAATAATCGACAGAACACAAACATCGGCACTTCTAGATGCTGCAGACATTTCAGCATTTGCATAGCTACAGTGCAATCTGAATTACGTCTACATTTTAAGACTCTGAATTTTCCTTGTAATATGATGCATGCATAACCAGATGTAAAATTCTGTTAAAAAAGTCAATTAAATGTGGCTAAGCCATCCAATACATACTGTTGACTTGGATAGGGAACAGCTGAGGAGGCTAGCAAAGGAAAGACCTTGTGAGGTTATGAAAGATGCCCAAACTCAGACTTCTCCTTAAAACTTGACAGGCAAGATTCTCAAGAAGCGTAATAGGCAGAGGGCCCCAGAAGTCAACAGAAGTCCATGACTTCACATGGGCTGAGACTGCAGCACGGCTTTGGTCAGCACTGCAGTAAGCCTCCAGTTTGACCAGAGGACTCCACAATGCCCTGGTTCATACAAATATTTCCTCTCTGGGTGAAAGTCTGGCCTCGGTGAAGCAAAAGCCAAAACTCCTGCTGCCTTCAGCAAGGTCCTTAGGTATGAAATGTTAAACTGCTTTTCTTTGTCCAATTAATGAAAATGACTAAATGAAAAGACCTTGTGTATACGGGCCTGACTAACTGTCCTCAAGTCAAGTTTACACTGACTTTGAGAGGCAGAGGATCAGGCCTTATGTTACCTTGCAGCATTTTTGCTTTAAAAAGGAGTCTTTCCTGTTTCATAGTTTCTAGGGTCGGAAGGGACCTGCGAAGATCATCTAGTCCGACCCCCTGCCATGGCAGGAAAGAGTACCGGGATCAAACAACCCCAGCAAGGTGTTCATCTAACCTCTTAAAAACCCCCAGGGTAGGAGCCTGCACCACCTCCCTTGGAAGTTGGTTCCAGACCCTAGCCGCCCTGACCGTGAAATAGCGTCTTCTGATGTCTAACCTAAATCTACCCTCTGCTAGCTTGTGACCGTTGTTCCTGGTCACTCCTGGCTGTGCTCAGGGGAACAGTGACTCCCCCAATGCCT